AGTTTGTGAAAATCACTCTCATCTCTTTCAGATCCTGATTTCAATTTCTTTGAATATGTGCCCAGAAGCGAGATTCCGGGATTATATAGTAGTTCTATTTTTAATTTTCTAACACTTGTTATTTTCTGTTTTTGTTTTAATTTTTAAAATAGTAACTATCATAATGAGTGTAAGGTGTTTTGTGTGCTTTGTAAGCATACTTGACGTGGGATTTAAGGCTCAGCTAGTTAGTCAAGGATTATCACATTTCAAAATCCTTAGCTTAAAGCAGAGTCCTTTTTCTCCAAGTAAGGTCACTTTCAAAAGTTCCAGGGATTTATTCATTGACATATCTTGTAGGAGAGGGGGTGAGACACCATTTAACCTATCAGCCCCCCTCTCTTCCCTGCTTTATTATTCTCTTTGACAGTTATCTCCAGTTAACCTGCTGTATATTTACTTTGTTTTCTGGCAGACAATAATTGAGATAAAACCATGAGAACAAGGATATTTGTGTTTTGTTAACATTGTTTTCCCCTTAGAAGAGCATATGCCACCAAATGGCTGTACACCACATATCAGTTGAACGAGCAACAAGAGGGATGGCCAGTTAAAACAAAGAGCCTAGATAAACACTGGCAGAAATTTCCCTAACACCTTTGAGTGGAAAATTTATGGATCTGGTGGTTCTGGGGATTTAGATTATCTAAAGTAAATTCTTTTTTGGTGGGGGGTACCAGGTATTAAACCCAGGGGTGCTTAACTACTGAGCCACACCCCCAGCCCTTTTATTTTGAGACAGGGTCTTGCCAAGTTAATCAGGACCCCACTGAGTTGCTAAGGCTGGCTTTGAACCCATGGTCCTCCTGCCTTAGCTTCCTGAGCTACTGGGATTATAGGCATGTGCCACCATGTCTGGCCTAAAGTAAATTTTCTACAGTAAGGAAGAACGGAATCTCTTGAAGATTATCCATCAGGCCAGATGCAGTGGCACATACCTGTAATCCCAGCAGTTGAGGAGGTTAAAGCAGGAGGATCCCAAGTTCAAAGCCAGACTTAGCAACTTAGTGAGATCCTGAGCAACTTGGTGAGAACCTGTCTTAAAAAAAAAAAAAAAAAAGTGTCTCCATCAGGATAAATTTCAGGATACTCTTTAAGAAAAAGTACAACGTTACTGATAAAAATACCATTTTTCGGGCTGGGGATGTGGCTCAAGCAGTAGCGCGCTCGCCTGGCATGCGTGCGGCCCGGGTTCAATCCTCAGCACCACATACAAACAATGATGTTGTGTCCGCCAAAAACTGAAAAATAAATATTAAAATTCTCTCTTCTCACTAAAAAAAAAAAATAAACAAATAAAATAAAAATGCCATTTTTCACTAAAGTGCAGAAATAGTTATTTTGTGTCTAAGGAAAATGTATAAAGTGGAAAGTAAGAAAGGCCCTAAGACTACTAGAATTGTGTCAAAAGAAAAAAGCACCCGAATGTTTGGTTTGGTTTGGTTTTTTTATATTTATTTTTTAGTTGTAGTTGGACATAATACCTTTATTTTATTTATTTTTATGTGGTGCTGAGGATGGAACCCAGGGCCTCACACATGATAGGTGAGCGCTCTATTACTGAGCCACAACCCCAGCCCCACCTGAATGTGTTTTGTTTTTATATATTTTTTAGTTGTAGATGGACAAATACCTTTATTTTGCTTATTTATTTTTATGTGGTGCTGAGGATTGAGCCTAGGGGCCCCCACTGGCTAGGCAAGTGCTTTACCGCTGAGCCACAACCTCAGCCCCATGAATGTTTTTTGTTTTTTAATTTTTTTTAGTTGTTGATGGGCCTTTATTTAATTTATTTATATGCAATGCTGAGAATCAAAGTCAGTGCCTCACACATGCTAGGCAAGTGCTCTACCACCGAGCTACAACCCCAGCCCTACCTGAATGTCTGATGAGACAATATAAACATTTTAAAAAGGACAATGACTATGATGGGTTAAAACAAATCAGATATTTGGGCTGGATCTGTAGCTCAATGGTGGAGTGCTTGCCTGGCATGTGTGATGCACTGGGTTTGATCCTTAGCACCGCATAAAAATAAAATAAAGGCATGTTATCCGTCTACAACTAAAAACTATCAGATAGTTTAAAAATTTGTACATTTATGATAATACTGCACCTTCTCCTGGGGAAAAAACACTCACATTGGTTACAGTTACAGGTTGCTGGGGATTGAACCCCAGGGGTGCTTAACCACTGAGCCACATCCCAGCCCTTTATTCTTTTTAAATTTGAGACAGGGTCTCGCTAAATTGTTGAGGTTAGCTTTGAACTTGGGATCCTCCTTCCTCAGCCTCCTGAGCTACTGGATTATGGGCGAGGCCACCACATGCAGTGACTCATTTAATGGCATGAACAACAACAACAACAACAAAAAAGATCACAGGCATGCTTAGCAGTGCCCAGCTGTGCTAATGCTATTTTTTAAAGTCTTTATCTGGGGCTGGGATGTAGCTCAGTGGCAAAGAGTCTGCCTTGCATTCACAAAGCCCTGGGTTCGACCCCCAGTTCCAAAAAAGACAAAAAAAAAGAACCCCACCAAAAAAAAATAAGATTAAAAAAAAAAAACCCTTTAAAAAAATAAAAAATAAATAAAGTCTTTATCTGTTGGAGACATATACTGAAGTATTTATAGGTGAAATATGGTCCTTGTCCCAGGTATCAATCCAATAACAAGGATGAGGTTTTGAGAAAAAAATAAATTTTATTGATTTGCTATCAAGAGAAGGCAAAGGATTCATGTCACAAAGGCTGCCTGCCATTCTAATTGCTAGGGGGAAACAAAGGGCTTTAAAAAGGGGGATACAAGAGCTGTTTTCCAAGTAATTTTATCAGTAGATCTAATTAATGTTCAACTTACATCCATATGAGTGCTCTTATACCAGTTTCCAGGTCTGGACTCTTTTATTCTTGTGGGTAGTGAGCATAACTCAGTTTAGAACAGGAAGAATGTTAACTTTACCTCCCCCTTAATTAAGGAAGGGAAGAAGAAAGAAAAAAACATCAATTTTCAAATAAACCACCAGTGATTGAGCAGCAAGGTTTATAGTAAAAGCATGAAGTGGACTTTCCTTACAAGAAAGGCACCCCTGTTACAGGATTTGCTATAATATAATTCAGAGGGAAAATGCCCATATAGATGATACAAGAAAGGCAAAAAATTGTTGTTGAAGCTAAATAATCAGTATATGAAAGTTCATTGTCACTAATCTACTTGTGTGAAAATTCTCTTTGTAAAACAAAGTGCCAACCTTCCTTGTGCCCAATAAGTAACTTCCTGATTTTTCATTTTCCTCTGTATACAAGCAGGATGTTCTGTCATTCCACAGGATCCTACTCATTCCAATTACTTCTCTTTTCCTGTTTTCTTAATCCAGATTTTCAGGGCCATCTTGCACCTTCCTCCACCCCCACCCCCATCCCCAGAACGAGGCAGGATGCTGTGAAATGAGCTGGCAAGAATTCACCTGGTTCTTCCTCTCTGCCCTCTTCTTCTTCTTTCTCTCCTCTCTGCCTCTCCTTTTCTTCTCCTTCAGGCAGCCCCCCAATAAACCAAAGCTTGCAAGCTCTCTGCCTTCTTCCTCTCTGCCCTGTTCCTTTTCTTTCTCTCCTCTCTCTGCTCTCCTCCTCGCCTCTCTCTGCTCTCTGCCTCTCCATTTCTTCCTCTTTGGGAAGCCCCCCAATAAAATCTCTTGGTTGAAAAAAACAAAAAAAGAATTCACCTGGAGGTCAAGTAACTTAAGCCTGGAGAGTGTCCCCACCGGAAAGGCTGAATGCTGGTTTACACCATGCTTTGTTGTGTATTCCATCAGAGAAAAGATAAGCTAAGTGCTAATATCTAAAAGCCAGGAGATTTTCATGTCACAGCCAAACGTGCAGTTTCTTACTGTAGGGAGACTCACAGGACTTTGAGAGTGTCTGCTCAGTCTCATTTTTTTCCTTGCACAGGCTGCACTGAGCCACATCCTAAGTACTTTATTATTATTATTAGTATTAGTATTGTTGTTATTATTATTATTTTATTTTGAGACAGGGTCTCGCTAAATTGCTTAGGGCCTAGTTAAGTGGCTGAGGCTATGTATTGAATTTGCAATCCTCCTGCATCAGCCTCCCCAGTCTCTGGGATCACAGACATGCGCCACCTCCTTGGCTGCTCAGTCACATTCTTAAGAGGTGAATCGGTGGCGGCAAAAACACCAGTTACACCAAGAAAGACATCCCGGGATCTTGCCTTTTTGGTATAGAAGGCACCGAGAGCCCACAATCGGGAACAACCCACGCCCGAATGAAACCATGGGAGTCACCTGGCTAGTTTGGGCGCTGTCCCACGTCCCCACCGAGCCCCAGGACCCATAAGAACCCCACTCAGGCACCCTCCTCCACTCCATCAGGGTGGGACAGCAGATAGGAACAGAGAGCAATGCAGAGAGGGGGTACTCTGCAGAGACAGTCGCGCTTTCTTGCCGTGTGCGAGGTGAGGAGGTTCGGGTAGCCTGGCGCGGTGGCGCACGTTTGTAAATCCCAGTACTTCCGGCAGGCTGAGGCAAGAGGATCGCAAATTCAATGCCAGCCTCAGCAACTTAGCGAGGCCCTGTCTCTAAATAAAATCAAAAAGGGCTGAGGATGTAACTCAGTGGTTAAGTGCCCCTTGGTTCAATTCTTCCAACCAAAAAAAGAGAGAAAGTTTGGAGAGATTCTCCAATCTAGACGGCGGGCGGTCGCCACCGCGCAGGCGCTTTTTAGCTGGGGCAGCACACTGGTGCTGAGAGGCACAAATTGTGTCCCGCTGACGGAGTTAGATGGAATTGCGCAGGCGCAGAGCGGTAAGCATCCCTAAGGGTACTGAGGACAGAAAGGGGACGGAGAAATAGAAGATGGACGTCACTGCGCAGGCGCTCTCTGTCTCTCTGTGTGGCGTCGCCTGGGCCGCGCGCAAGCGCAGAGCGATCCGCAAACGTGCGCACGCGCGCGGGTATCAGGCACGATGGCAGGTGTCGTGGGTAGGGGCCTGCCGGCTATGGGGCGACCGGCGTTGCTGTTGCTCGTGATGTGTGCTGCCGGCGCCCAGGGGCTCTACTTCCACATCGGCGAGACGGAGAAGCGTTGCTTCATCGAGGAAATCCCCGACGAGACCATGGTCATCGGTCAGGCGGGCTGAGGGTGGAGAGGCCCTTTGTTTTCGCCCGGCCCTCGGAAGTGCCCCTCCTCCCGAGCTTGGCCAGGTCATACCCCCAGACCTGGCCTGTGGGTGCCCCGAGGACGCCAGGCCCCCTGCCCAGCGCCCCGGGCCGCACGTCTGGGGGCCAGGTCATGACTGTGTGTATGCCCTGCAGGCAACTATCGAACCCAGATGTGGGACAAGCAGAAGGAGGTTTTCCTTCCCTCGACCCCTGGCCTGGGCATGCATGTGGAGGTGAAGGACCCCGACGGTAAGGTAAGGTCACCGCTAGCAGGGCTTTTAGCGGTGTCAGTCGTACGTTCATCAGCGTTCCAGGGGGGGATGTAAGTCGCCTCCTTGGTCCTGAATCAAGGTCCTAGGGCAAAGGAGCTTGCCCCTTGAGAAGTCACGGTAGAGATTGGACTTTCATTGATCCATGTTGCAGGTGGTACTGTCCCGACAGTATGGCTCCGAGGGCCGTTTCACGTTCACCTCCCACACCCCCGGTGAACATCAGATTTGTCTGCACTCCAATTCCACTAGAATGGCCCTCTTCGCCGGTGGCAAACTGGTAAGAAGATTTCTGATCTGTTCCCATAGTCGTTTGTGACACTGTTGCACCGTTAGAGTTGGGAATACAGATGTTACCCTCCTGCCACAGCCATGGACAAGAGTGGGTCCCATAGCCTGGAACACAAATGGTTTTGAGGCCCCACCACTCAAGACACCCTGTGTTCCCTTGTAGCGTGTGCACCTAGACATCCAGGTCGGGGAGCATGCCAACAACTACCCTGAGATTGCAGCTAAGGATAAGCTGACGGAACTGCAGCTCCGTGCTCGCCAGTTGCTTGATCAAGTGGAACAGATCCAGAAGGAGCAGGATTACCAGAGGGTAAGGGTCTTTTGTACTTGGAGATTATATCTACTTGAAGTTTCTGCTTTCTCTACTTGGGAGATCAACTCTTCTGAGAATGGAATGGAGGGTATCAGTCTAGATAGCTTCCCAGGTTGTTTTCACTTTTTTTGTTGTTGTTGTTAGTGCTGGGGTTTGAACCCAGGGTCTCACCTGCACGTTACGCAAGCACTTTGCCACTGAGCCACACCCTCTTCACTTTTTAAATTGTGATAAAATACACATAATGTAAAACATCATTTTAATTGTTTCTAAGTGTGTAGCTCCATGGCATTGAGTAGATTCACATTGGCTCGGTGTGGTGGCACATGCCTATAATCCCAGCTAATTGGGAAGCCATGGCAAGAGGCTCACAAGTTCATGGACAATCTGGGCAACTTGGCAAGACCCTGTCTCAAAAAATAAAAAGGGCTGAGGATGTAGCTCAGTGTTAAGACACCCCTGGGTTCAGTCCTTGTACCACCAAAAAATAGATTCATATTGTTGTGCAATCATCACCACAATCCATCTCCAGAACTCTCCTGAGTTAGTATTTAATAGATTTTCACCTTCCAAAACAGAAGATCTGTACCTATTAAATACTAACTCAGGCTGGGGATATAGCTCAGTTGCTAGAGTTTGCCTTGCATGCACAAGGCCCTGGGTTCAAACCCCAGCACCACCAAAAAACCAAACAAAAAACAAACTACCCATTTCCCTCCCCAGTTCCTGTTCTATTTTGTCTATGCTTCTGATTGTTCTAATTCAAATAAGGGGAATCATAGCGAATTTTTCCTTTTGTGACTGTCTTATAAGATCTCTAAGGTTCAGATATGTTGTAGCATTGTCAGAATTTCTTTCCTTCTTAAGCTTTAATAATATTCAATTGCATATATGACCCAATTTTGCTTTTTTGGGAGGGGGTGTGGTACTAGGGATTGAACCCAGGGCTTCACATGTGCTCGGCAAGTACTCAACTACTGAGTTCCATCCCCAGCCCTTTTTAGTTTAACAGGGTCTCAATAAGTTACCCATGCTGGCCTTGAGTTTGTGATCCTCCTGCCTCAGTTTTCTGAGTCGCTAGGATTAATGGCATATGCCACCCTTGCCTGGGTCCCATTTGCTTTAGTTGCCTTTTTAATTTTTTGATACCAGGGATTGAACCCAGGCATGCTTTACCACTAAGCCACATCCCACCCACCCACCCTTTTTGGGGCTGGGTACCAGGTATTGAACTCAGGGGCACTTGGCCACTGAGCCATATCCCCAGTCCTATTTTGTATTGTATTTAGAGATAGGGTCTCACTGAGTTGCTTAGCACATTGCCATTGCTGAGGCTGGTTTTGAACTTGTTATCCTCCTGTCTCAGCTTCCTGAGATGCTGGGATTACAGGCTTGTGCCACTGAGCCCGGCTTCCCCAGCTCCTTTTTTAAAAATATATTTTATTTAAGGTCAAGATCTTGCTGAGTAGCTTCGGACCTTGTAAAAGGAGCATGATTTCAGTCCCAGCAGAGATGCTTGTGGAGGTGACAGCACTGTTCCTTCCTTGAGACAGTTTTTATGTTTGGGGAGACTGTGGCACCCCTAATGGAATCACAGGTGATATTCCAGAAGGTATTTGGTCCTGGAATTAAGCAGTCACTCACACGGAGGGACCTCACAATTTTCAGGATAATTTCTCCTGCTCATTTAACCTTGTGCCTGTTACCCCATGCAGTATCGTGAAGAACGCTTCCGTCTGACCAGTGAGAGTACGAACCAGAGGGTCCTGTGGTGGTCCATCGCTCAGACAGTCATCCTTATCCTTACTGGCATTTGGCAGATGCGTCATCTCAAGAGCTTCTTTGAGGCCAAGAAGCTGGTGTAGTGTCCTCTCTGTATGACCCTTTTTACTTTAGTTCTTTGGTACTTTCTCCAACCAATCCCTTAACCACCTGGATTTTGAGGGGAAAAAATGCAAAGGAATATGACATGTTGGTAGTATGGCAACAAACCATTCTGATCAGTAACTTGTTTAACCTTGATTCTCATGGACACAGGACATTGGTCCAAGATTTCAAATTCTATTTTAGGGCTTATAAGGAATTGAAACTAATATAAGACAAGTCTTGTCTCTTTTGCCTCCAGTGATTCCCCTGTCCTCTCAAAAAATGAGCAAATGACCTTCTGTTTTTTCTTCATCTGATTACACAGTAGGTGACTGGCATACCCCACAAAGGAGGCCTTGCCTCACTGTTCCCTAGCCAGTTACTTGGTTCACTCAGTGGCTTTGTGAATGTAAATAAGGGGCAGGTCTTGGCCCCAGAGGATCGAGATGTTTTTCTATATATTAGAACTATTTTTTGATAAATTATATATTTTCCTTCCTAGTTGAAGTGTTACTGCCTGTAACTAGCTGAAAACACCAATCTAGTCCTTGTGCATTCTGTTTATTCACACGTTTTTATAACTGCCATGGCAGCTCTCAGGATTTCAGCAGTCTGTGGGCCAGAAGCAGATGTTAACAGCTGTTCTCAAGGCCATATTAGAAGGCCTAGCAGAATTCTCTTGGACACCTGTGATTCCCATCTGATAGGGCCTCAGAGTCAGGTAAGACAGTGAAAGAGCCAGTATGGACAGTGCACTCTTATCCCCCCTCTTCCCAATTTATTTAAGCTGTGGTAATGTTTTCTTCAAGGGAACGAAATTTGGTTCTTTATTCAGATTTTTCCAATTAAATAAAACGTCTTACAGTAGTTGTGTTTGAGATGAAATAAGAGGTTGTGGGCAGAGGAGAAGCAAAAAGGGAAAGAGGAAAAATTCTTGGTCAGCCAGGGTGGGTGATCTGGTATGGACCTTAGTGTGGACTGTGTTAGGGCTTGGCTTGGATGGACATCTTTCTGGGAAACTAAGAGTGGACAGAGTGGTTCCTTAACCATTCTCAGGCTGACCAAGTGGAGAACATTTCAGCAAGGACATGTGAGGAAACTTATGTACTTGGTTTCTTAGCCCCTGAATCATAAATTTGAACAGCTAATGATGCCCTTCTTCTGTATAAAAACTTTATTATTAGTTGCCCATTGCTGACATTTTATTTCATAATTTTATTATAAATATATTTGGAATGTTATTTATTAAATTATCTGACCTACAGAACTAAATTCTTCCCTTGTTATTTCTCTTTGTGTCCCACACTATTCAATTCAATAGTTATTTAGTTTTATTCTTTAAAAAAATATGTAATTTATAAAAATTTTTTAATTTTTTTTTCAGTTGTCAATGGATCTTTTTATTTTATTTATTTATATGTAGTGCTGAGGATCGAACTCAGAGCCTGATACATGCCAAGCAAGCTCTCTACCTCTAAGCCACAATTCCAGCCCCTCTATTGGGTTTTCATTTTAAGAATTCTAATTTGCAAAGAGGTGGCAAAGAAATGAAAAAAAAAAAAAAAAATTGACATAATCTAATTCTGGGTGCCACATAATATAGTCCAGTGAAAATTGTTCAGATTTTTAAAATAGCTTTTCAGTTTCCATGTTAGAATTAACACAAGGGAACTTGCAATCCTCCTGCCTCAGTCTCCTGAGCCACTGGGATTACAGGCATGTGCCACCGCACCTGACCCTTCTCTCCTATTTTACCAGGAAAAAGAAAGTGTGGGTTGGGGAGCACACATTCTTAACATTCACTGTTATCCTAGCCTGGTTCCCCTTATGTTAAGCAGTACCTGTCTTCATCATTTGGTCTCAGCCTCGGTACTTGTGATACATAAACTATTCTCAACAACCTGTTGTCTCTGGTATTCAAATGTTGGATCAGGGGAGCTGGATGCACAGAATGACCCTGGAAGCTCAAGGTAAACTCCTGGGAAACGCTAAGATCCAATTTGATTTATCAGGTTTGATTTGGGTGTAATGGTAGGCAGAATAATGGCCCCCCAAATGTGTCTATGTCCTAGTTCTAGAAATCTGTGACAGTTAACCTATCAATTAAGGTTGTCAATCAGATGATTTTAAAATAGTAAGATTATCCTGGGCCATTTGGGTGAACCTAATATGAACACAAAGGTCTGATGACTTGTAAATAATCCATCCCTGTCCACTTGGACAGTTTGTCTTGTCACCCCATTTCCATCTACGAAGCCAACACTAGTGGGTTGAGTCCTAGAATCTTATCTGCAGCTTGCCTCTTCTATTTTTATTTATTTTTGGTACAGGGGAGTGAAGCCAGGGGCACTTCACTCCCCCACTTTTTTTTTTTTTTTTTTAGGTGTAGATAGACACAACACAATGCCTTTATTTTTATGGGTGCTGAGGATGGAACCTGGGTCCCGCCCTGCTAGGTGAGCGCTCTACCTCTGAGCCACAATCCCAGCCCCTCACCCTTTTTTGAAAAATTGATTAAGGGTCTGGGGTTGTGGCTCAGCGGTAGAGCATTTGCCTGGCATGCATGAGGCACTGGGTTCAACCCTCAGCACCACATAAAAATAAAGATATTGGGTCCACCTATAACTAAAAAAATAAGGAACTTTTTAAATTGTTGATGGACACAATACGTTTATTTGTTTTTACGTGGTGCTGAGGATCAAACCCAATGCCTCACGTGCTAGGCAAGCGCTCTACCACTGAGCTACAACCCCTGCCTCCCATCCCTTTTAAAAATAGAGACAGGGTCTCACTAAATTGCCTAGAGCCTTGCTAAATTGTTGAGGCTGGCTCTGAACTCGTGGCTAGGCCTCCTCAGCTACTGGAATTACACTCATGCACTACCAGGCCCGGCTTCTCTTACACCATTTTTTGTCGTTACCGGGGACTGAACTCGGGGGCATCGATCACTCAACCACAGCCATAGCCCTATTTTGTATTTTACAGAGGGTCACTGAGTTGCTTAGCGCTTGGCTAAGTTGCTGAGGCTGGCTTGAACTCCAGATCGTTCTGCCTCGGCCTCCCGATCCGCTGGGATTACAGGCGTGAGCCACCCCGCCAGGCCTCTCCCACTTTTAAAGTTTGTGGTAAGGCTTCTTGTATTTGTTTCCTACTGCTGCTGTAACAAATTATCACAAACGGAGTGGCTTTAAACAACAAACGTTATCTTGATATCTCTGAAGGTCAAAAGTCCGATACCTTGATTTTAACCCTGTGAAACTAGTGGTAAACTAGTGATACATAGAACTGTAATCTATCAAGAGCCTGACGACAGCCAGGTCTGGGATCTCCAGACCACCGCCCTTCCCCTGAGCGCTACTGCAGTGATCTGCCCGCAGCGCGTCAAATGGCCTCAGTGGCTCCGCGAAGACTGCTGCGCCACACTAAGGCTGGATTCTAACAGCACCCAAGCGGAGAAAGTCCCGCTAACGCTATTCCTGAAAGTCGGGGGAGCTAGAAAGTGCAGAAAAAAATCCGGGTGAGCGTTTGCGTCGCGAGATTCGAGGCGAGCAACCAGCAGCCCTACTTCTGACCTCCCCCGAACACCGGAAACTTGAGAGACGGGACTTCCGGAAAGTGGCGGTTTCTCTGAGCTTGATTGGTTGTTGCTTTGAGTCGCCCCGCCCGTGTCCTTGCTTTCTTCCTGCTGCGCGTGCTCGTTGTCAGTCCCGAACCACGCCATGGCGGACCCAGAGTCCTTGGGCTTTGAACACATGGGCCTGGATCCCCGGCTCTTGCAGGTACCGGGGAGGGCTGGGGACCCGAGAATCCGGCTTAAGGGCTCTCAGGGCACGCCACTGCCCTCCGCACCGCTTGAACCGCACTCTTCGTCTGTCTCTCAGGCTGTCGCCGATCTGGGATGGTCGCGACCTACGTTGATTCAAGAAAAGGCTATCCCGCTAGCCCTAGAGGGGAAAGACCTCCTGGCCCGGGCCCGCACTGGTTCCGGGAAGACAGCTGCTTATGCTATTCCGATGCTACAGCTGCTGCTCCACAGGAAGGCGGTGGGTAGTCAGAGGCCGGACGGGAGGCTGGGAAGGGAGGTCCCAGTTTGTACGAGGTTTTCTCTTGGATCATAGAATCAGTCGGGTCCCATTGTGGCAAACGTTCTGGGTTGGGCTTTAGGTTACCTGAATCCTAATCCAGGACGTGCTCCTCTACCATCAGCTTGGTGTAATCTTGAAATAACATTACAGTCACTTTCTTTCCTTCCTCAATGAAAAGGGGCCAGGCACATCTTCTACTTGCAGAGTTATTGTGAGAGTACAGGTTCATACCTAGCGTTCATAACTTCATAACACACAGTAACTTCATTACACACAGAAGAAGTTATTTTCTTCTGTCAGCACCCAGGGAAAGCCCTCCATTTTATTTTCTGAGGTGGGCAGAATGAGGGGATGATCAGAACACAGGTTGTTGTATGGACAGGATTGTGGTTGGACCAGATTGCCTGGAAAAGATAGAGAAAAGCATTGGTTGGATCCATTGATATTCACTGCTGGCTTTAACCTGTAATTTATGGTCTTACAGACAGGTCCTGTGGTGGAACAGGCTGTAAGGGGAGTTGTCCTTGTTCCTACCAAGGAGCTAGCACGGCAAGCTCAGTCCATGATTCAGCAGCTGTCTGCCTACTGTTCTCGGGATGTGCGGGTGGCCAATGTCTCAGCTGCTGAAGACTCAGCTTCTCAGCGGTGAGTGAAAGGGAATGAAGCTACACAAAGATGTAGGATGGGTTTGTGTGTAGTAGGAGAAAGCACAGGTCCAGGGTGAAGTTCCAGCTGCCAAGTTCTTCTTGATACCCATTTCTTACCACCTGTAGAGCTGTACTGATGGAGAAGCCAGATGTAGTGGTGGGGACCCCATCCCGTATATTAAGCCACTTGCAACAAGACAACTTGAAACTGCGTGACTCCCTGGAGCTGCTGGTGGTGGATGAGGCTGATCTTATTTTTTCCTTTGGCTTTGAGGAAGAACTGAAGAGTCTACTCTGGTGAGGAAGAAATGGTGATGGTGGTGGTAGTGGTGTAGTTTCTTAGTGGAAATGTCTTTGAGACCACATTTAGAGGTCCTTGGAGTAGGAGCCTGACTAGGTTTTTTTCTTTTAGTCACTTGCCCCGGATTTACCAGGCTTTTCTCATGTCAGCTACATTTAATGAGGATATACAAGCATTAAAGGAACTGGTACTACATAATCCGGTAAGGGATGCTGTGGGAATATCTGGAGCTGTAGACATGGGAACACTTGGAGGATTTGATGCTCCTTCTGAGGTCCTTTGGTGTTTTGGGTGGGACCATTGTCATTGGATATGTCATTCCTGGTCTGAGGCACTGAAAGACAGTCATCTAAAATTTACTAACATTGTGCTGGGGTTGTAGCTCAGTGGTAGAGTGCTTGCCTAGCATGTGTGAGGCACTGGGTTCAATTCTCAGCATTGCATATAAATAAATAAAGGTCCATTGACATTTAAAATATTTTAAAATAAAAATCACAATATATTTCTGGGTGTCCCAGTTCAAACTATACTTTGTCTAAAAGCCTAAGGAAGGTTCCTTCCTTACACCCTGCCCCCACTATCTGCTTTGAGTGGCAAAGCCAAAATTCTAAGGCCAAAGCTTTCAATGTTATATTTTACCTTTCAGAAGATCTGAATTTTACCCTTCAGAAGACCTGTTGCTGTAGGCTTTCCATACTCGCTATTGTAATTTACCAATGTATTTTTCTTTGTCCTATGCATCATGTGCTTTGTGGATTGTTTATTTTTTTCCCCCCTTTCTGTATATCCCAAAGTTAGGGCACTTGAGTTTTTAGATTGCAAAACTACAGGAATTTTGGCATGCCAGAAATCCTTAAACATATCCATGCCCTGCACTAAAATGATGCTTTTGTTGGTGAGTTAGTGGCCATAGAAATCTGTTTTTCGTCCTTACTATAGGCCTTTTCTCTCCTCAGGTTACCCTCAAGTTACAAGAGTCTCAGCTTCCAGGATCAGACCAGTTACAGCAGTTTCAGGTAGTCTGTGAGACTGAAGAAGACAAATTCTTGCTGCTGTATGCTCTGCTCAAGCTATCATTGATTCGGGGCAAGTCCCTGCTCTTTGTCAATACTCTAGAGCGGAGTTACCGGCTCCGTCTATTCCTAGAGCAGTTCAGCATCCCCACCTGCGTACTCAATGGAGAACTTCCCCTGCGCTCCAGGTTTGTCATGGCCCATGTCTTGGTGGAAATAAGTTGAAGATAGGGATGGAAAAGGAAACCAACTGATGTTTATGTTTCTTGAGTGTAATAGTGGGGCTAGGCCTGAGCTTGACTGGTAGTTATTTCTGACAACTCTGGAATACTTACTGTTACTCCATTTTCATCTGAGGAAATTGAGGTACAAAGATTAAGGAGAAAGAGATTGAGAGGAGGACAAAATAGGAAAGGGCAGTCGTTATGATGATGGCCATGGATGGGAGTGGGCCTCCCACACACCCTGCTGGGCTGATCCCATCTCTTGGTCTACAGGTGCCACATCATCTCACAGTTCAACCAAGGCTTCTATGACTGTGTCATAGCAACAGATGCTGAAGTCCTGGGGGCCCCAGCCAAGGGCAAGCGGCAGGGACGAGGGTCCAAAGGAAACAAGTGAGTTTGCATTTCTTTTCTGACCTCTTCTTCAGAGGTGCCTGTTTTTCAGCTTTTTGGAAGACTGAAGCTAAGAGTACACAGAGCAGGATGCCAGACATTCCAGATGTTTGGTAGCATATCGCAGAGAGCTCCACTGGCCCTTGCTTAGCTACTTGAGTATGGAGAAGGGGAGTGTTTTAGCCAGCTTTTTTTTTTCCACTGTGACCAAAAGACCTAATCAGAAAAATTTAGGGAGGAAAAGTTTATTTGGGGCTCATGGTTTTAGAGGTCTCAGTCCATAGAGAGCCAGCTCCATTCTTTGGAGCAGAACCACATGACAGAAGAGTGTGGTAGGTGAAAGCAGCTGGGAACATGGCACCCAGGAAGCAGAGAGAGAAAGCTTCTCTCTTCAGGGACAAAATGCATACCCAAAGGCATAACCCTAATGACCCATCTTTTCTAGCCACACCCTATTTTGCCTATAGTTACCATCCAGTCAGTCCTATCAGGGAATTAATGTATTAATTATGTTAACTCATATCCAATCATTTCACCTCTACACCTTCTTGCATTGTCTCTCTCATGAGCTCTTGAAGGACACTTCATATCAAAATCGTAACAAGGAATAAAGGGCACCAAGGGTCAGACTGGGCTTGGGAAATTGGCATGTGCTATCCTACAGGGGAGACAGCCAGCCTGAAGTGCATGTGGCTGCGTCTTACAGGGTGTATGTTTTTAAGGGAAAAACGGAAGTCCCCTAGTCTGTCCACCTGAAGAGTGAATTGTTCCAGAGGTAGTTCTCAATTCACTCTGTGGGGCAGAGAGTTCTGTCATTGCCCCAAAACTGAGGTCAGGGCAAGGGTTTGACCACATTTCAAAGCTTTAGGCTGATCCACAAGGCCACAACTCCTGAAATAGTTCTGATGTAGAATAGTCTTGCATATACCAGGGTCTTATGGTCTTTAGGTTTTGCTTAGAGGGGTTTTTTTTGGCTTAAGCTTGAGAATGCCCTCCCAGAGATGGGTCTGGCTGACATTGGGTTATTTTCACAGGGCCTCTGATCCAGAGTCAGGTGTGGCCCGGGGCATAGACTTCCACCATGTGTCTGCTGTGCTCAACTTTGATCTCCCCTCCACCCCGGAGGCCTACATCCATCGAGCTGGCAGGTAGGGAGGAATGTGGTGGGCCTGGCATCTAGGTGATGGGCATGCTGAAGGACTTGGGGTGGGCTGGATAGAGCTTAAATGTCAGAGATACATTTCAGCTAGGTCATCTCCCCTTGCAGGACAGCGCGAGCCAACAACCCAGGCATAGTTTTGACATTTGTGCTACCCACAGAGCAGTCACACTTGGGCAAGATAGAGGAACTTCTCTGTGGAGGTAAGAGTCCTGACTCTTATTGGTATGGGCCTGGGTGAGGACCAGGCTTCTCCCACAACAAACTCATAATAGTGACAATAGGCAGCCTCCACTGTTCATCCTTATCCTATGCTGTGTGACAGATGCTATCTCCCTTTACAGATGAGTAAATATGTCCATTCAAAGTCAGGTTTACTAACAAATTAAAAACAAAATCACATTTACTGTCTGCCTCATGACTGGTGAGTGATTTGATGTACTGCTCTGACAGCTCATTCCAAGGTACTAACTGTGCCTGGACTGCAGTCCATGACCATCGTTGTGGGGGCCTTGTGCCCAGAGCAACTTTGGAAGAGGAAGGGAGAGTGGGCAGTGGGTCCTGGAACTGAGGGATGTGATGGCACACAGGACTTAGGAATATACACTCCTGTCCATACCATCACTAGGCTGCCCATGAAACAATGAAATTGTGTGTTTGGCCTCTCAGGGATCAGCCTCACCTCAGGGAGAAGGAGTAGGAAACTTCCAGTGAAGACCTTAAATGGATTCTGTCCTGAGTCCCTTTGCTATCTCTTCCCCAGAGGGCGAGGTCCCAGTCCTGCTTCCCTACCAGTTCCGAATGGAGGAGATCGAGGGTTTCCGCTATCGATGCAGGGTGAGCTGGACACTGGGGAGAGGATGGGGAGTGGCTGGGGCGGGCTATGATTGTGATAACAGGGACGACACCTATGGATGCGTATCCAGGTGTGAGAAGGACTTGGGAAATCTCACCATCTGATCACCAATGTCTGCCTACAGGATGCCATGCGCTCAGTAACTAAGCAGTCCATTCGGGAGGCAAGACTAAAGGAGATTAAGGAGGAACTTCTGCATTCAGAGAAACTTAAGGTAAGGATAGGGTGGGCAAACTTAGGAGAGTGCTTTGGATGCCGAGCTCTGAGTGGTGAGAATCAGAGAACCGGGCTGTGTGTTGGCATTTGGTAGGGAGAGGAAAACTGGCCAAGAGATTTTGAAAGGAGCCAACCATTTTGTTGGGAAGACAAATGGCACAACCTCATGTGGGCACTCAGTGTTTATTAGGATTTCAAGTTCTCTTCCTCTGGGCATATTAGTGAATGTGTATATTCCCATTCATCACATTATTTTTAGGGAGTCAGAAGATGGAAGGAGCCCCAGAGTTGACTCCAGGGGGCTTACCAAATAAATGAAAGTGCAGCCTCAGCTGAAGCTCACACAGACATAAGAAACAATGAGGAGGCTATTTGTGTATACCTAGGAATACTCTGTAAAATGATGCTAACTGAAAGAAAGCAGCACAGGGTGCTGCTGTGTGGTCAGAGAGGAGTAAGAGTGAACATGTAATGGACTCTTTGTCCACGTGCTAGGACTCAGGTGAATTCATGGAACTAGCAATAGTAGCTGCCTCTGGGCAGGGAGGGTGATGCAAACAAAAATGGTAGGGAAACTTTTTTCACTGTGTCATCTCTTATGCCTTATAAATTTTAAAACACATGGGTATATTGTCCTTTAAAAAGCTCTATTTGTTATAAACATTGATGTGGCTGTGTCCCTGTAGTATGTTGTTTTTAAGTTCTTTGGGTATAGACCAAGGAGAGGGATAGCTGGTCAAATGGTGGTTCCATTCCCAGTTTTCCAAGGAATCTCCATACTGTTTTCCATATTGGCTGCCCCAATTTGCAGTCCCACCAGCAATGTACCTTTTCCCCCACATCCTCTCCAACACTTAGTGTTGTCTTCATAATTGCTGCCATTCTGACAGGAGTAGGATGAAATCTTAGAGTAGTTTGATTGGAACCAACCTAGATGCCCTTCAGTAGATGAATGGATTAAAAAAATGTGGCATATATACACATGGAATATTACTCAGCAGTAAAAGAATAAAATCATGGCATTTTCAGGTAAATTGATGGCATTGGAGAAGATAATGAAGTTAGCCAATCCCAAAAAAACAAATGCTGAATGTTTTCTCTGATATAAGGAGTCTGATTCATAGTAGGGTAGGGAAGGGAAGCATGGGAGAAATAGACGAACTCTAGATAGGGCAGAGGGGTGGGAGCGGAAGGGAGGGGGCAGGGGGTTAGAAATGATGGTGGAATGTGATGAACATTATTATCCAAAGTACATGTATGAAGATACGAATTGGTGTGAATATACTTTATATACCACCAGAGATATGAAAAAATGTGCTCTATATGTGTAATATGAATTGTAATGCATTCTGCTGTCATGTATAAAAAGAAAATCAATAAAAAATTTAAAAAATTTAAAGTTATAAAATATTACATTAAAATTATCAACTATAAAAAAAATCCATTTGGGGGGTTATGGCTCAGCGGTAGAGCACTCGCCTAGCGCATTTGAGTCCCTGGGTTCCATCCTCAGCAACACACAAAAATAAACAGATAGATAGATAACAAAGGTTTAAAAAAAAAACTCCATTTGGCCAGGTATGGTGGCATGCTTGTGCTCCCAGCTACTCAGGAGTCTGAGGTAGGAAGATTGCTTGATCCCAGGAGTTCAGGAGCAGCGTGGACAATATAGCAAGACACAGACTCCAACAAACAAACAAAAAAAATTGGCTGGTAGTAGAGTGCTTTCCTAATGTGTACAGTGCTCTGGGTCTGATTCTCAAAACTCCCCACCCCCGCAAAAATAAATTAAAAAACAAACCTCAGAACCTCAATGCTAAGTGAAAGAAAGTCACAAAGTCTGCAAAGTCACAAAAAAAAGATACTAACTCCGCCAAACTCTCTGCCCACTGTCAGACATACTTTGAAGACAATCCCAGGGATCTCCAACTGCTGCGACATGACCTGCCCTTGCACCCTGCAGTCGTGAAACCTCACCTGGGCCATGTACCTGACTACTTGGGTGAGTGTCACTGAGGGATTGGGAGGCAGTGGGCTGGGGGACATGGCAGGGGTTCTTCTGCCATTGTGTGACAGCTCCTATGCTCGGTGCTGGGGAAGCTTGTGGGACAGGCAAGTAACAGGACGTAGAGACCCAGGTAGCACATCATATATCCACACAAACAAGTACACAGTATGTGTTCACACATGTAGACTTGCCCACTTCACCCCATAGGGTGTACTGTCTCCTTTGTGGAGATAAGAAAACAGGTAGTGCAGAGATGATGGCAGATCTAAGATTTGAGCCAGGCAGTCTTGCAGAGCAGGGTGGAATGACAGAATGAGCTAGTAGTTGGTTGAATGGCTTTGTGTGCTGAAGAGAGTGAGCAGGTTTCGGGGAACATCCTGGGTGAGAGGCAAATCTTCCTATGCTGGAGCAGACTCTGGATTGTCAGGCACTGAAGTAATGGCTTGGACACCTGTGGAATGTCTAGGTAAGAGCAAATGACAGGGAGATAGACACTCCAGGGCAGAAACAGGAATGGGGAGCAGCCGTTCATCCTGGCTGACCCTTCTCATCTCACATAAGCTTCTATTGTCCATGTGTGTATTTTTGATAATGAGAGTATATTATATGCTTAAATTGGGTTTAAGAAGAGTGGCAAGGATGTGCCATGGGCAACGAATATAGGCCCTCCCCATGCATGGGCTCTGGTCTGCCTGAACTGAAGCAAACTGGCAGGTGTGATATTCCTGCCTTGGAAGTGGAAAGGCCTGAATGGTGGGAAAGGAAGGGCCTAGGAGAGATGGGAGCATGGAGATGCTAGAGGGAGGGGTAGAAGCCAGGCTTCCAAGGGATAGTGAGCTGGAGGAGACTCCAGCTGTGGTCTGAAATGCCAGGAGGGGATGCCAGAGCTTTGACCTAAGGGGCCTGGTAGGAGCAAAGTCACTCACCAAGAGGATGTGGCCAGGAGTCCAGAAGCCAGGGGAAAGTGGAAGGAATCAGTTGTGGCCTGTCTCGGGGGAGGAGGCCAGGGTAGTGGGTATGAGGGCAGGGTCAAGGTCAGGTATGGGGACGGAAGCAGTAGGGGCTGGTGAATTTGTAGTAAGGGACATAATGTGAAGAAATTGTCCAGCCTTTTTAATTTTGGCTCAGTTTTTCTTGACATTATTTTCCTTCCTCCTCCTTCCCACATACTAAGCACATATTCTACCATTGAGTTATACCCTAGCCCCTATTTTTCTTTCTTGTTACATGTTCATTGCAATGAATTTAAATACTATTTAAGAGTGATTTAGACAGTGAAAGTCTAAGGTGCTAACGTTCTCTGACCCAGTGCATATGCGATAATGAATAGCTGTAGACTCTTACTTGGATCAGAATTAAAGAATATGCTACAGAGTTTGCGGGGGAGGCAATGCTGAGAAAGGGGTGGGATAATACTGGGAAAGCTGGAGGGAGGACCAAGAGCCTCTCAGAGTAATGGAACCATATTTCATGGGGTGGGGGTGGCTGTGGAGGCTGGTGTTTGTGGGTTGGGTGAGGATTCTGCTGAAGACCTGCTTCTCTTCCAGTCCCTCCTGCTCTTCGTGACCTAGTACGCCCTTACAAGAAGCGGAAGAAGCTGTCCTCCTGTAGGAAGGCTAAGGTATGTGCCCTGAGGGCTGTGGGTCAGCAACAGGACCCTTGCTCCACCTTGCCCCTTTGTTGTCACCAGGACATACAGATGCCTTGCCCTCAGGATGAGGAGAGTGCTCCCAAAAACTGGAGTGTGAGCTGGGGTTACCTCCCTGACTGTCACAGGCCCTGCTCTCTATCCTCAGTTGTCCTTTTTCCTCACAGTATCCATAGCAGCTTGCATTATCATTGGCTTATGGCTGACAGGGTTCTTACCAAGTACCAGCACTGTCCATTTTGTGTCTGTGTTTGGATGATTGGTCTGATTCCTCCAACTAACTTGCTACTTTGCCCATGTAGAAAGTGAAGACCCAGAACCCACTGCACAACTTCAAGCACAGAGGAAGGAAATCCAGACCAACAGCCATGCCCTCCTGAGATTGCCTGGGCCTGAGTTCGAAGTGGATTGGGCTTCCTTGCCTGGATGGAGTGGGTTTCCCACACTTCATGTGCGCACACTCCTGTGCTTGCTAACTGGATAGACTGAACTCTGGGGAGGCTCTGGACCCTCCAGATCTGCCAAGCTGCCATTTGCCCCTTAATAGAATAACAGTTCCAGCTGCCTCAGGTTGTGCCTCTGGGTTATGTGGGAAGGGACTATTTCCCCAAACCTTGGAAGATGGGAAACTTCAGAAGGTGGTGGTGCCTAGCTGCTGCTGCATGCAGTGCCTCACATGACCAGCAGATGTCAGTTGTGCAAAGCCAACTGCTAAGAAAAGCCTGTCCTGGTCCAGTTGGTTCAGCATGGGGCTAGGCCAGCCTAGAGCCTCTGCCCTGCTGCTGCAACCTTACCATGTGGTTCAGGCTGATAGATGTACCTGCAACCTAGGAGACAGATTTTCCTTACCACAAGCCTTGGATTGCCCCTTACCCAATGCACGCTCATTTAGATAGAGGAGAATGTTGCCCACCCCTCAGAGGATTCAGGGCAGCTATTTCCCTTCCCAGATGATAACTCATGTGTCAGTTGTTGTCTGTATTTCAGATACACAAGTGGTAGTACAACATGCATACCTACTGCATCTCTTCCTGTGTCTTAACCTGAGTACCCAGCTGCATTCCCAGCCTGAAGGTTGGGCCTCTTAATTTCTGTTATCTGCTGGCTTCAGGGCTGGATTGCTCCGCTTTTTACAGTGTTAACCTCATAGTTACCTGAAGCATCACAAGGGTAGGCTGGGGGCAGGTGACAAGGAGTGGGAACTGGGAGAAGTAGGGAAGTGTTGAATCTGAGACTGGGCTTTGGTTATGGTTAGGGTGTAGTGGTACAGGGTTTGCAGGATCTGAGCTTTGGGGTCTTCACAATCTCTGCCCTTCTGTTAAATCCTGAGGATTTCTAGGAAGTCAGGGTGTATGGCATAGGGACAGGCTGTTGGTGGGAGTGAGTAAGAGCCGCCAGGGCAACACCACAGCATTCTTACAGCCTGACAGCTCAGATACATTTAGAAGGAAAAGCAGTCAGTGGAGCTGCAGATAAGAGCAATTCCATGAGCATCTTTTGGGAAATAGATGACTGTCAGAACTGCAGAGCCCACATCATAGAAGGGGAGATAGGCAAAGAGTGCTTCTAGTGCTTTGGCTTAGTCTTCCTATTCTGTCTTATTGGGAATGCTGGGAATAGTGAGCTAATTTGGGTGTTGCAGCTACTCTGTGCTCTAAGATGATACATAACTGGTTCCTATGGGTTTTGTCTCAGACCTTGTCATTTCATTCACTCTGCTAAGGGTGTATGTTCCAGAACCACCCTGGTGGAGAGAAGGTTGGGTTTCTCTAGTCAGATTCTTTGGGGGAGATAAGATGGACAAGCATGGAGCTGGCATTCTACTGTGTTCTTATGTCAGGGTCTGGACCATAGCTGAGGGGCTCAGGTGAAGGCATGGTAATTGTCTGTTCATGTGTACATTCCTTCCTCCTAACTCAAAGCAGCCCTTGGGGTGGCTGTTTCCATGATCTGGATGAGGAAGTTACCTAGTGAAGGTGAAGTCAATGGGCAATGTTTGGACTCTGGCCTATCTGGCAGTGTAGGGCCAGTTGGCCTGGCTGCCCAACCTGGGGGAGTAACTGATGCTACTTATGTCTTTTACCATCTCAGGGGTGGATGCTATCAGGGATGCTTGTGCTTGTGCTGTGTTCTTCTCTGATCTGCAACAGGCCTTGTGCTTTGTTGAGTCTGAATTAATTCGTGGCAGTGGAGAGAATGGGAAGGGGCCTTCCCCTTCCCGTGTCTTGAGTCTAGAGGGAAAGTGTACAGGGCTCATTTAGTACCCACATAGCCCAGTCATGTCTGATGTCATGAAGAAATAAGGGCTTATCAAAGGATTTCCATTATTAAGTATAATTATAGTCTACCAATGGGGGAAAAAATGAAAAGGAGAAAAGAAAACCAGTCTCAGATTTCTGAATGAAGCCTTGGTCTTAACCTCACACAAATGTATCCAAAGTAGGACAGGACAGGCCCGGGATGAGGGTATATACAAGATGGACACATGAACCAGGGGCTACCCTAGGGCCAGGAGGCACTGGGTCATGTAGGCCTAGAAAGGAAGAAGAGGGCAGCACATACTTGAAGCCTCAGGCTTTAGGCAGAAAGGTTGGGAGTTCAGTCTCATCTTTACTCTGGGCTAGCACAGTTTCATACGCTTAAGCCTGAATGAGCCCCGGTATGTCTGGGCCACGTGCAAGGGTATAGAATTGGGTAAAGAAGACATGGTCTGTGAACATAGGAGTTTTATGGAGACCAGGAATCAAGTTGCACTGAGTTCCAGTTGGCTCCACACACTGGGGCTTAAGCCATCTGTCTTGTCAGCACTTGAGCCTGTTGGGAGCAGGTACTCAGCTGGGAACAGGAGTGAAGGTAATGTATTAGGCAGTGCACATATATAAAGAGGGTGGGCAGCAATTCTGGTAAAGAGAACCACACGTGAATTCCCTGCAGGGAGGAAGTCTAGCCCATTTGAAGATAAAAAGACCAGAGTAGTTGTCACAAAAGTATGTGACTTGATTTACTTTGGGAAATACACAATTACATGTTAAAAAAGTACCACGCATGGTGGTACATGCCTGTAACCCAGCAGCTCAGGAGGCTGAAGCAAGAGGATTGCAAATTCAATGCCATACTGTGCAGTTCTATGAGGCCCTGTCTTCAAAAAGTAATAAAGATCTGGAGCTATAGCTCAGTGGTAGAATGAATTACCAGTAACACCCACACACCCTGCCACACAAAGTAAAAGGAACTAGGCAAGGTGGTGCATATCTGTAACTTAGCTGCTTGGGAGGCTAAGGCAGAAGAATTACAAGTTTGAGGCCATCCTGGGCAATTTTGTGAGACCCTGTTTCAAAATTTAAAAGGGTTGGGGTTGTAAGTCAGTGGTAGGGTACTTGCCTAGCATATGTGAGACCCTGGGTTCAGTCTCCAGTAAGGGGGAACACCTTGATCTAATAACCAAGGTGACTGATGATAACAGAAGGAGGGCAGGGTGTGCCTGGAAAACTCTGGACCCAGAGCATAGAAGGTTCTGATGCGTTTCTATCCCAGTTAATTCTTTTCCCCATCTGCTGAGGATAAATGACTCAGCTTTTGGGGAACTCATTGTGGAACTTGGCCTTCAAGGTCAGTGTCCTCAGGAGGCAATTTTGATAAAAAGTTATTTCATCAGAGAGGTTCGCTGGCTAAATGTCATCCTCTTTTCCCCCACAAAAGTTAATTACCATGAGGTACACAGCTTTTGAAATGGACTGAGTGGCTTTATATCCACTTAGGACAGTCATTTTTCACAAGCCTATGAGAAGAAGTGGTCGTTCATTTCAGAGGGTGAGGTACCCTCATCAGTAGACCTGCTGTGTGCCAGGCACCATGCTGGGCAGATATACACTGTTTATTCCTCTCAAAGCACCTTCAGAACTTGACAGATCTAGCCTGTCTGTTCACCCACCTATCTGCCCACAAACCTGCCAAGAATCAATAGAGTTGGCATAGAAAGCATCAAGGGCAAGGATGTCCAGGCACATTGAGAGGTCTTCAAGTGAGAACCTCAGGAGCTGCTTCCACAGTATGGCAGCACACCATGCACATACCCTTGTGTGGGGGTGTAAAAATGCCCCTTGGAGTGCCCACTGAAGGCTGTTGTGGCACATACATGCATCACTGAAGCAGCCCAACTCTGTTCTGATATCTCCTGATTCTACTCTTGAGTGAGTCTTGATGCACCGTCCCCCAAAATTCCCATGTACACTAAATTACATAAGAATCTTCTTAAAATGCAGGTGCTTGTTCTGGAGGTCTAGGGTGGGATTCTGTATTTTCTGCTGGTCCTTAGACCACAATTTGAGATCCATCACACACACCCATTTTATAGGTTGGGCGAACTGAGGCTTAGATTAAATATTTTTTATATTTATTTTTTAGTTGTAGTTGGACACAATAACTTTTTTATTTTTATTTATTTTTATGTGGTGCTGAGGATCGAACCCAGGGCCCCACATGTGCTAGGTGCCCGCTCTACTGCTGAGCCACAACCCCAGCCCTTAGATTAAATATTTAGCTCAACACCATCATTCAACTGTGTGGTGTGTGATGTGGGAAGCTTCTCAATCTGTTGGACTCCAGTCTGAAAAGGAATGGAAGACCCTAGTTCAGGACTGTTAGGGATTTCCCTGTCACTTCTCAGGGTAGCCAGGGGAAATATGGACATGGAGGTAGATTCAAATTCCAGATCAATAGTGAGCAGCTTTCCAGGTGTAGTAGCTTCACACCTGTAATTCCAGCAACTCAGGAGAATGAGGCAGGAGGATTACAAGTTTGAGGCCAGCCTCAGCAACTTAAAATAAAAAAAAAAAATGAATAAAAAGGGCTAGGGTTATGGCTCAGTGATAAAGCACCCCTGGGTTCAATCCCTGACAACCCCTACCCCGCCCTAAAAAAAAAAAAAAAAAAAAAAAAACACTTTAGGGATTATAATAGGGATTGCATTGAATCTGTAGATAACTTTGGGTAGTATTGTTAATATTAGCAATATGAAAGTCTTCTAATCCATGACATGGAATTTCCATTTATTTGTGTCTCCTTTAATTTTTTTTTGGTGTTTTTGTAGTTTTCAGTGTACAGGTCTTTCATATTTGTTTAAATTTATTCCTAATTATTTGGTTCTTTTTGATGCTATAGTAAATGCAATTGTTTTCTTTGCTGTTTGGACTGGTGATCATTGTTGGTATGTAGAAATGCAACTGTTTTTTGTGTATTTTTTTGAATCCTGCAACTTAGTGAAAATCATTCATTAATCATAGGATGTTTCAGCGGTTTTTATAAATAAGATCATGTTATCTGCATCTAGAGATTATTTTATTTTATTTTATTTTATTTTGAGACAGGGTCTCATTAAGTTATGTAGGGTCTCACTAAATTGCTGAGGCTGGCCTTGAACTTGCAATCCTCCTGTCTCAGCCTCTTTTCTCTTCTAATTTGGGTGCCTTTAATTTCTTTTTCTTGCCAAATTTCTCTGACTAGATATTCTAATACTATTTTGAATAGAAATGATGAAGTGGGCATCCTTGTCTTATTGGTAATCTTAGGAAGAGGACTTTCAGTCTCTCACCAGTAAGTATGATTGATATTAGCTTTAGTTTTTTCCCCCTCATATATGCCCTCTATCATTCTGAGGAAGTTCCTTGTAGTCCTGGTTTTCTGAGTATTTTTTATTATGAAAATATGTTGGATTTTGTCAAATTTCTCTTCTGCATCAATTGAGATGATCATATATTTTTTTCTATTAATGTAGTATATTACATAAATTGATTTCCTATGTTGAACTATTTTTATATCCCAGGAATGAATTCCACTTGTCATGGTGTGTAATCCTTTTAATGTGCTCTTGGATTTGGTTTGCTAGTATTTTGTTGAGCATTTATTCAATATTAATAAAAGATAGTGGCCTGTAGTTTTCTTGTAGTGACTTTGGTTTTGGTATAAGGATATAGTATGATCAGGATTTTACGAGAATGGCCTCACAAAATTATGTATTAGTCAGTTTTCATTACTATAATAAAATACTTGAGGCTGAGTAACTTGATTTAAAAAAAGAGGTTTTGGAAGCTCTAAGTCCAAACAGCAAAATGCCAGCTCTGGTATGGATGATATGTTGAATTAGAATGGTGGGAACACAAGCAAGAGGGAGAAATCGTGGTAAAGCAGGAAGCCAGAAACAGATTCAGGTATCAGACTCAGGCTTTTATAACACTTTTCTCTTGTGAGAACTCAGAATTCCCATGAAAATTACCTGAATCCTTCAGATGATAGTTCCCCCAATGACCTAAGGACCTCCCACTAGGTCCCATCTCTTAAAGGTCCCACTTCATTTCATATCACCACACGGGAGACCAAGCCTCCAACACATGAACCCTTAGGGGACATACCCAAACCAAATCCAAACTATAGCAAATGAGTTATAAAGTGTTCTTTCCTCTTCAATATTTTAGGAGAGTTTGAGAAGGATTGATATTAATTCTGCAAATGTTTGGTAGAATTCACCAGTGAAGTCATCTGAAATATTTTTTTCAGGGAAAGTTTTAAAATCACTTTCAGTTTACTTGCTACTTATGGGTCTATTCAGGTTTCTCATCTCTTTTTTTAAAAATATATTTTTGTTTTAGTTGTAGATGGACACAATGCCTTTATTTTTTATTTGTTTAT